TGCTCCATAAACCCCAACACTAATGAGCGTGCCTGGGATCGTGCCCCGGGGAAGTAACCAGGGGGAAACCCAGCCAGAGAGTGGGTAGCTGGGGGCCTGCCCCCGCGACAACTGGTGCCACCCCTAACTGCCCATCTGCTGATTAACCAGCCTGGCCCCAACCTCTGACCACGTGTAACCTCCGGGCCTCCGTCCCCGCCCGTAGCCAGCCTAGATGCGACCCGCTGACCACCTACGGAGCGATCGGGCCATTTACCGGCCTCCGGTAGCTCACAGTCCAGTGGAAGGAAATGACAGGGTTACGTGTAGGTGACAACATTACCGGACTCTAGAACAGGCACTGTGTGTGTGTGGAAAGGTGTCTGGGAGTGTCAGTTCATTGGGAAGTCAGTGGGTTCTGACTATGGGAGAAGTGGGGGTGGTGATGGCCTGCACACCCCCTTCCCCCCAACCCAGCTCCTCCCTCCAGAGATGAGACAGTCCTATTGGGAGAGGGAGAGACTTCCTCCTGTAGCCTGGGCGAGGTACATGGCTATCCCATTGGTCAGGCCAAAGTCTCATGCCACACTATCTTGTCACCTGAGTTCCCTGGACTCAGCGTGGGAGAGAGGTGCCCAGGAGAAGCGGGGGTACAAGGCTGGGAGGTGGTGGGGCTCTTACCCCCTCAGGGTCGTCCCCTCCTTAGATGGTCACCATGCTCCACCTTTCTGTTTCTGTTTTGACCTTGCATCCTGGGTCATGAAAGCCCTTGTGGGCCCTGGGACGCTTGGTGCTATGGGCTCCGCTTTCACAATGGCATCCCTTGGTGGGCCCCTCTCCCCTTTCTCCTTCCTGCTCTTAGTCCAGGAAAATGGGAGAAACAGTTTTACTTGGAGGGGAAATGAGAAACCTGCTTTGAATGTGGCCAAGAAGGGTAATTAGAGAGGAGTCCCTTCCTGGTTTTCAACTGAGGGATTGAGTTGTAAGTAGGATTTAGTTAAACCTATGTCTCTGAAAAGAAGGCAAGAGAGAGGTCACTGGACAAGGACTCAGTGACCCCACTTGATTGATTTGTTTTGTCAGCCCGTCACAGAAACATCCATTCTGGCCCTTAGTTGACCCCAAGCACAGATGCAGTCAAATGACCTGAGGTGTACCCTCTGGGTGGCTGATCTCTGCCTTTATGCTACCAGTGGGGTGGGGTGTGGCTTACAAGGTGTTGGCCTGCAGGTAACATGGTCCATTTGGCTTCTGGGGCCCAGAGCTCGGTTGAGCTATGTATGGGGACAACATTCCCTGGCTCCACAGGTCCCTGTGCTGGTGCCAGGCCTCGAGGTCTGGACAGGACCAGGCAGACAGGTGTGGCTTCGGGCTGGAAGGCTGCTGTGCAGGTTGGGACTAAGGTGGCTAGGACCAGGGAGCCCAGGCTGCCTTCTGAGCAGCTGGATCAAAAGCTAGGCCTGGAGGACTTGGGCTGGGCTGCGCTGGTTTGCAGCTGGGAGGGTATCTTGAAGAAGGGGTGGGCCGGGGAGCAGGTAGTCTCTTTGGGGAGTTGGGAACTGGAAAGGTTATTGGGTGCTGTGTAGCAGGAGGGGGAGGTGGGCATTGGTGCTATTTGCTTCATGCTGGGGGTCCTGAAGAACTTTTTTTAGGGGGAGAAACGAATGAAACAGAAAGGGGTGGAGAAAGTTCCAAGGTAGAGCGAGAGAAAAAGAGCCCAGGAACTGGGGAGTCACTTGGGAGGTGGTTGTGAGCCTGTGATCCATGACTGTAGTGGGGAGGGGAAGAACTAGGGTGGGAGAGCAGGCCCACCCTCTATGCCTGGGGACAGGTGGTGCGCAGATCAGGCCAATGCATCCCTCACAGCATGCTGGTCAGGGAGACTGGCTAGAAAAGTGTTGTGAGGAGACTCGTAGCAGGTGGAGGGCCAGGGTGCAGGGAGCGTGCAGGGGACAGATGAGAGGGAAGGAACTGCTGCAGGTATAAAGGCCCTATGGCTGGGAGAGGGACAGACTACAGGTCTGCCTTCTGGGAGGGCCAGACGGAGAGCCTGGTGTCCTGTTTGGGGCTATTCCTGATGTGTTTGGCCACAGCGCACTGCGTGGGGTTGCATGGGCGGCTGTGTGCCGGAGAAGCTGGTAGGAGGTCTGCAGCGGGCAGGCCCTGTGGAGATAGGGGTGGCCCCAGCTCACTGCCAGCATCCCACACTCTCTTCAGCTTAGATGCTGAAATCTGCGCTTCCTCCCCTTGGTCCTGGTCCTACATGTCCCCTTGGAGCTCTGTCCTCCGTCTTCACACTTTATTTTTAGCAGCAGAAAGCCTCTGCAACCGCTCTCCTTAGTGTCGGCTGTGGAAGCTTCCTGGTCCTCCGTCCAGGCTGCTGTCCACTCCCTACTCAGGAGTGCTGTCCTGTCTGTCTGCTCGTCCTGTGCCCTATGCTGAGCCACCATGGTGACCTTTCTAACATAACTGCATGTGTGGCCTTGCACTCTCCTGGACACCCCAGCTCCTCAAGGGGGAGGTATAACCCCCTAGGGTGAGCCAGGTTCTGCCCTTGAGCCAGTTATAGCCCCACCTTCCAGTTGATCTGGTGCCAACATGCCGACCTGGTGCCATCCCTCAAGTGGCTGTTCCCGCACCCCCTTTACTGTTGCCATTGTGTGCCTTTGGCCCTGCTTGTGCTGGGTAGTGGTTTCTGTGACATCAGGACCCCTCAGCATGGCCTCCCCCCAGAGCTGAGCGGGTGGACATCTGCCCCTGGCTGGCCTTAGAGCACCCCCATCCAGGACCCTTTCCATCGGAGGTTTGCCTCTCACTGCACTTCTCTATGGGCTAGGAAGGGCTCAGGTCCTAGGCACTTGGTAGATGTGTATTGCATAATGAAGGTGGTGGTGGTCAGATGGAGAGGGAGGGTCTGAGGCCAGCAAGGGGGGTGGGGGAAGGGTGAGGGACACAGGCCAGGGTGAAGGTCATGGATCAGGGGTCAGGGTGGTCAGGGTTCCTTTACGATTAAAAGGCCTGAAGGATCAGGGAGCAATTAAGAAGTGAATTTATTCAAGACGAGGGTGAAGGCCCAGGGCCCCTAAAACTGGTGTTGGGGAGGGGGAGCTGTGCTCCTTGTCACCTGTGCACTTGTTCTTCATAGATGAGCAGCAACAGCAGCAAGAGAGCTCCCACGACGGCCACCCAGAGACTAAAGCAGGACTACCTTCGGATCAAGAAGGACCCAGTGCCTTACATCTGCGCTGAGCCCCTCCCTTCCAACATCCTCGAATGGTGAGCGCTCTGGCTGGTGCTTCTGGGTGACCTGAGGTTCTGGTCGGGTGGAGAGAGGTACCCGTGCTTCTCAGGTGTGAGTGGGCAGCAGGGACCACACCCCCTTGGTCTTCTCTGCAGAAGACCAGAGTCTGTGATGCTGGAGGGGCTTTCAGATCTGCAGGCCTCCCTGATGCCCAGGGTCTTGTCACTGTGGGTCAGTTGTTACCCA